TAAAGGACTATAAAGAAATAAATAGCTGTGACTTCAATTGGACTTTACAACAGCTCTGCCCTTGTGCTCAACTGGCTGTCAAGAAAGTTGATTACAAAAGTTTGGTTAAAGTAGTATTAATCTCTAAAAGCCGCATCCATTGTAAGTGATTTCATCAGCAGTTGAAATAGATTAAATCCCTTTGGTTTTTATATCACTGTAAGCGCAGTGTACTTTTTATGTTGGCTTTTATATTATTTATGATCTGGTTGTAATTTGTTGCATCAGATATCTGCACACCTTGGCTCAGAGATTTGATTTGTAATGTGCTGGATGTTTGATATGCGCACTCAATGCCAGAATGTGTAATGCGTTGTCTGTGAATGTGTAATGCGTAACATGTGCCACAGATCCCTTTCCAGCCGTTGTTATGATCTGTAGCCAGGTCTCAGGGCTAAGAATCATGAGAGGGGAGGCTGATCCTTCAGAGGCTCACATGAAAACGATTGATTACTCAATATTCAGAATAGATTTTACATGAGAAGATGTTTGCTGGTGTTACTGTAGATGAGTCCAACTTGCTCTTGAACCTTCCAAACACAACGTTATATAACAAGTAGGTCTCTAAAGGAAAATGATTGGAGCGTATAGTCGGCTATTAATGACCTGTTCCTCTTTTGTTAGCTGCTTGGCTGACCTGCTGACCAGTGCAAATGGCTTCAGAGCATTCTTACTGGTGATTTTGTAGTAGCGATTAATGTCTGCTACAGATTGCTAATGCTAGAAATGTATAGCTAGTGGATCAGACTTCATTATTACATTCGCTGCTTCAAATTGTCCCCCTCCAGCAATATGCATCTAAGCCATAGAGGTGAATGCAGAGCATGTGACGCACGTCACAAAGGAACTGGGAATGCCCTGTCACCATAGAGGTAAATGCAGGGCAATTGAGACGCGTCACAAAGGGAACTAGGAATGTCCTGTCACCATAGAGGTGAATGCAGAGCATGTGACGCACGTCACAAAGGAACTGGGAATGCCCTGTCACCATAGAGGTAAATGCAGGGCAATTGACACGCGTCACAAAGGAACTGGGAATGCCCTGTCACCATAGAGGTAAATGCAGGGCAATTGACACACGTCACAAAGGAACTGGGAATGCCCTGTTGCTATAGGGGTGAACGCAGGGCTGTGAACGCAGGGTGTGACATAGCCCTTAAGCTGCTCAATCTTTATCTATTGACTTTCTTCTTATTGCGTATAATTTCAAATCTGCGCTTCTGGATAGACAAACCCTCAGACAAGTATCAGAGCTGCTGCACACCAGACAACTAGGTCCAAGATTCCAATTAGTATTAAATATGCAGCGCTAAGAACCCCTATTTCCCTTAAATAAATTAATCAATGAAGTTAAAAATAGTCAAATATGAAATTAGATAATTGATGAAAGAATCAGTTAATATATAATACAATTTGTGTAAATAGTGCAACATTGTGTATCAGGTTAATGTGGATGAAGACTCAATTCATAACATGATCGCCTAGTTGTGATTTCCTTAGTTCATAAAATCATTTCTACTTATTGCATATCTTGTGTTTTTAGTTCACAGATCATACTGAAAGAAGACCTGTGCATTCAAAGTGGCAAGGTATGGCGGTATTCTTTGTAGTTCTCACTGTCCCTTATTTGATGTGTGCTATTTCCAGGCTATAACTCGCTTCAGTGTCACAGGGAAAATGAGGGCAATTGTTTACATGGTGAAGTATGTGTAGTGTAATGCACTTGGCATTCATCTTCCAGCATGGCTTCTTCTTTGTATTTATTTCAGAGACCAAATAACCTCCCATAATTGGCATCTCTTAAAGGCATAGCCCACTTTTTGGAGAAAATGAAAAGCCCATGCAAAGAAAAAACAAAATGTGCATTTATTATTATTTCTTTTTCCATCAGAGCCTGCAAAGCATTGCAACCTATATCAGTGGATTGTAGGTGCAAAGCGCAGGCTCTTCCTCCAGCCCCAGGTCCCCAAAGAGCTAGGGACCATTGGTTTTGTGACTGGAGGAAGTGGTAAATTGGACTTGTCGTCTTTTCATTTGGATCCTGGGAATGGACCTGTGAAATAATGACAGCTGCACCAAATTCAAAAGTACAAAGAATGCTGCAGGGAGAGGAACACCCACAATTCGGGGGGAATCAGGAATGTGACCATTTTCATGACTGTAACCTGAAACATTGTCAGAAAGGTGGACTGTTCTTTTAAAAGTAACAGCAAATTCAGAAAATCAGATCGCTTTAGGGCAATACAGACCATGTTTAAACAGCCCCGATGCTGGCGACGTACACTGCACGTCGTCAGTCACGAAGGGGTTAAAGAACAACTCTAGTTAAAAATCGTGACAACACTCTCTTAAAAGTGCCACCTCTGGGACTCTGACCCTGCTCCTGGCTGTATTACATAGTGAACTGCTCATCTAAAAGAAGTATCCAGCTATAAATGGTCAGATTTCACTGGTGGCATGCTTAATCTGGGTAGGTTACTCGCTAGGTAGGGGAGCAGGAGAATGACAGCCCCAGAGCCAGCACCTTTACAGAGCAGGTTATAAGGGCAGATCCCATATGTCATGAGGTCATGTTACCTTCAGAGGAGTCACATGCACCCCGGTCTTGTCCCTCTGTGGAGGACAAATGTCCAAGAGATACAGTTATTAATGTTTATACCCGCCCTAGGCAATGAATATAATTTAACCCATCTCATGAAGTTAGATCCCAGGCCGATGGCCTCCAATGCTGAACACAAATAGGACCATTCAACACTGTTCAATGCCTTGGCTGTGTCTAAGGATATTGCCAGGATTGCCCACTGGAATCTGAATATTAAGAAAAAGTTGTTGGATATTCATAGTGAGAAGGAATAAATCTAGATTGGTCTACATGTATAGCCTTGGAAATAGCTTTGGATAGACGGTTAGTCAGTACTCAGGCCAGTGATTTTACATCAGAAGTGAGTAATGAAATCGGTCTGTAGGATTCCGGGTTCGGTCTGTGTTTGCCCTGTTTGGGCAACATGATTATTGTCGCCTCCGTCATGGAATGAAGGATGAAACCGTCCTCAAAAGCTGTATTTTTTTTTTTTTTAATGGAAGCACCAGAGCTTGCCCTGGTATACCTCTTATGGTTCGGGTACAGCAGAGCTCAGGCTGGGGGAGGGATAAGCAGCACAAAGAGCAAATCAATTATACTGCAGTGCAGTAAGCACTGATAGGAGGAGAGAGCAGTGTTTCAGAGATGTGCTCATCAGTCTGCTGTTCCTCCTTTCACTATCTAGTCAAACAGTGAGGGTGGGGAAGAGATCTGTTACTTAGCTGCAGAGGAGAAAAAAACAGGTCTCTTCCTCTGGCAGACGGCAATTGAAATCATTTGGCGGGTAAACCGTCTCCTTCTATGTATTTCATCTGTGTAGTTTAGCTGTTTTCCTGGAGTTCAGCTTGAAAGCATCTGTGCACATATAAGATGACCACCTCGGTCTTCAAGTGTCTGGTGTTCTCACTGCTGGGGCTGGAAGTCGCGGCACTCGTAGGATTTGACAGTATATATTATTGTACATGGAAGATAAACTTTCACCCGTCATGTTGTTTCCTGATATGTAATCAGCAGTAGACTGTCATAGGACTCACTGTCATTTGTTTCCAGCTGGCATGGGTTCTCTACTGTGACCTCATATGTCTGGACTATGGCGGCAATCTCCTGGATACCTGTACATGTGCGTTGGTGGCGGCTTTATTAAATGGTAAGATCCTCATCTGCAATCGGTAGTAGGTGTTTGTTTTTTAAAGAGATAATGACAAACTACTGACTGAAGGACATCGATGCTTCACATCTTAGACATTAAATGGCAGAAAGTGATTGGATATCATAGCTGATTTCAGTTCACAGAAGTGTCTGGGAAAGATCAGCGATGCGGAGCACTGAAAACCGATGTCTGCTGATCAGCACAAAGCTGAACTGAGTCACCTTGTGCCTCAGACATAATATTTCACATAACTACAGGAGTGAACGTATACAAACAAGAAAATCTGTTTTCTTCTGACTAATCCTGTGATTGGGTGAAACGCGTCACTCTAGTGGACTTTATTAGGAATATGTGGAGAATTTACCTCAAGCCATGTAGCCTGACACAGCCATTCCAGGGGCTTAGGAAGATCTTTGAGTTTAAGAGCCTTTTAATGAACCATCAGAAATTTGAAGCCTGCTGCACCTTAACTGAAGACGTTTTTTTCTAGAAATACAGACATGTCCAAATACTACTTACTCTAATATTTTGTTGCACAACCTTTAATCACAAGATTTCTGTAGCTCTCAATGAGAATTCTGCACTCACCTACAGGTAGTTTGGCAAACTTCTCCAGCTGTCTCAGGTTTGAAGGGTAACTTCTCCAGACTGCAAGTTTTGGTTTCATAGATGTTCCTTAGGATTCGTGTCAAGGCTCATAGAAGGCCACTTCAGAATAGTTCGGTGTTTTGTTCTTGGCTATTCCTGGCTACTTTTAGTTGTGTTTTAGGTCATTATCTTGTTGGAGGACCTCCATTGACCTGTGACTGCTTTCTATCAACATAGAGATTATGTGACTTGCCATTAATCTCCACTTTGGTCTATTTCAGTCCAAAGGACATTCTCCTGGAAGCATTGTCAATATGTATTTTACCAAATTCAGCCTTTTTTGTGATGGTCCTCCTGGATCTTTTTCCTTTGAGCCCAGTGTCACTCAAGAAATGATGGCTGGCCCAATCGGACACAGGTCTATAATTTTCTTTCTCATCTCCTTTGCTTTCTCTGGTCCATGTTCAGTGTGGTGCACACGATGATACCAAACAGCAGTGACTTCTTTACTCCAATTAGCAGGACCATCTGACTGATTATAAGATTGAAGACGTGAAACTAATGACTAAAACCGTTTTAAATATCACTATGATTTGATTACAGACAGTCCCCGGGTTACGAACAAGATAGGGGACTGTAGGTTTGTTCTTAAGTTGAATTTGTATGTAAGTTGGAACAGGTACATTTTTAAGTGTAACTACAGCCCCCAATTTTTATTTTTTTTTAGTTTTGGATAGCATAGGGGAGGGTTAACCCTGTTTTGCTGTCCTTGCAGTGGCTCTAATCCCACACCATACTAACCAAAACGAAAAAAATAAATTTGCATGGAGTTCTACTTTCAATGCAGCTTGGACAGATGTTTGTACAATTTCCTGTACTGTACAGTACCAGACCTGGAAGAAGAGGCAGGCACTCCTCGTCTGCACGTCTAACAACTTCCTGTAATGTACAGTACTACGAACCAGACCCACTCCTCGTCTGTATGTCTAACAACTTCCTGTAGTGTACAGTACTACAAACCAAACCCACTCCTCGTCTGCACATCTAACAACTTCCTGTAATGTACAGGAGGTACAGTACTATGAACCAGACCCACTCCTCGTCTGCACGTCTAACAACTTCCTGTAATGTACAGTACTACGAACCAGTGGACCTCCATTGACCTGTGACTGCTTTCTATCAACATAGAGATTATGTGACTTGCCATTAATCTCCACTTTGGTCTATTTCAGTCCAAAGGACATTCTCCTGGAAGCATTGTCAATATGTATTTTACCAAATTCAGCCTTTTTTGTGATGGTCCTCCTGGATCTTTTTCCTTTGAGCCCAGTGTCACTCAAGAAATGATGGCTGGCCCAATCGGACACAGGTCTATAATTTTCTTTCTCATCTCCTTTGCTTTCTCTGGTCCATGTTCAGTGTGGTGCACACGATGATACCAAACAGCAGTGACTTCTTTACTCCAATTAGCAGGACCATCTGACTGATTATAAGATTGAAGACGTGAAACTAATGACTAAAACCGTTTTAAATATCACTATGATTTGATTACAGACAGTCCCCGGGTTACGAACAAGATAGGGGACTGTAGGTTTGTTCTTAAGTTGAATTTGTATGTAAGTTGGAACAGGTACATTTTTAAGTGTAACTACAGCCCCCAATTTTTATTTTTTTTTAGTTTTGGATAGCATAGGGGAGGGTTAACCCTGTTTTGCTGTCCTTGCAGTGGCTCTAATCCCACACCATACTAACCAAAACGAAAAAAATAAATTTGCATGGAGTTCTACTTTCAATGCAGCTTGGACAGATGTTTGTACAATTTCCTGTACTGTACAGTACCAGACCTGGAAGAAGAGGCAGGCACTCCTCGTCTGCACGTCTAACAACTTCCTGTAATGTACAGTACTACGAACCAGACCCACTCCTCGTCTGTATGTCTAACAACTTCCTGTAGTGTACAGTACTACAAACCAAACCCACTCCTCGTCTGCACATCTAACAACTTCCTGTAATGTACAGGAGGTACAGTACTATGAACCAGACCCACTCCTCGTCTGCACGTCTAACAACTTCCTGTAATGTACAGTACTACGAACCAGACCCACTCCTCACCTGCACGTCTAACAACTTCCTGTAATGTATACTGCTACAAACCAGACCCACTCTTCGTCTGCACATCTAACAACTTCCTGTATTGTACATGAGGTACAGTACTATGAACCAGACCCACTCCTCGTCTGCACATCTAACAACTTCCTGTATTGTACATGAGTTACAGTACTAAGACGTGCAGACGAGGAGTGGGTCTGGTTCAAACAACTTCCTGTAATGTACAGTACTATGAACCAGACCCACTCCTCACCTGCACGTCTAACAACTTCCTGTAATGTGTAGGAGGTACAGTACTACGAACGTTGGCCGTAGCACTACAACTAGTGTAACAGGCTGGGACCTCAGTTTGTAAGTACGAGTCGTACGTAACTCGGGGACTGTCTGTATTTATAATCTTTTCAATGGATACCAACAACTATGCTCAGGCAATTTTAGAATATCTTTGTATATAAGAAATAATTGATCTTTGACACTTTTTCTCTTACTCGCTTTACTCTGACATACCAATGGCATAGATAGACAACTGTTTCAGCAGTTTCAATGACCTTTACGGGTACTAACAAATTTGTAGGTCAGCAAGTTAAGGTTTATGTTTAGAATACAGAGAACGAAATAACTTTTACGGGGAGTTGTATGTTGCTTCATGTGTTGCGCCCATCAATGTATTGATTTAGAACTGCCATGAATTTTTATGAATTGTTTACAGTCTGATCACTTGTCCCAGTGAGATACTGAAAATACTCTGAATGGTTACACTTTTCCAGAAGCTACTAACAGTAAATTGTTCCCCAGCAGATCTGTTTAGCATGCGGAACATTTTATGGAACAGTTTGGGCAAATCATTTCAGATCCGTAGGATAAATGGCTCCATAGGTGGCTGCCAGGCCCATCTGAGTCTGCCCCACAGTGACATCTTAGGAAATTTACATGGAGTCATAATAAACATTCTATGCCTGGATATTCTCTGGATTAATGCTAATGGTCTCTTTTCATAGCACAACTGCCATCTGTTAAAATAAACGAAGAAACAGGCTTGGCTCAGGTGAAGCTATCAACAAGAAATCCCCTGAAAATTCATAAACACCCTTTTTCGACATCATTTGCCATATTTGATGAGTAAGTATCTAGTGGAGATAAGGAGGCAGACAACATCAAAGCTCCTTGTCGTATCTGCTCCATTCTCTAGCAGAATGTATTGTTGTTGTGTGCAGCTTACAGGAGGGCAGGCCAGAAAGTCATGCTTATTAGCGACACCTTAATAATCAGATTTGAATGCTTAAAAATTGAATAAAGTACCTCAACTATTAACAATACTGTACCTTATTTGTGTATCACTCGGCTGTAGATCCTCAAACCATCTCTGAATTGGTGCTGACACTGTCCTTCCTTCTGGAGGGTGGTTACTTTTGTTCCCCATGGTCCCTGTGTGTGTTGTAAAGTACTCACCATTCCAAGCTCACTCCTGTGACGTACTACGATCTCAGGTTTAGTTTACTAATTTGTAGTGAGATTGTAGCCCATCAGGGGAGGAAGCTTGGAGCGGTGACTACTTTACAACACATATAGGGGCCGCAGTGGTTCCGGTACAATGATTGATCTATACCACCACCATAGCATTGCTGGACTGACTCTGGAATGGACGACCTTCCAGTGGAATGGATGACCTTTCCAGTAGGATGGTCCAACGCTGCAGAGACAGCCAGATCCCCCAAGTTTCAGGCTATTGATTGGGAGAAGGAACTCTTTTGGTGACCAAGTCCCCTACACCGACTGGGTGCCCAGGACTGCTCCCCAGCCCTACAGGATGGCATCCCTTGTGAGGATCCTCCAAAAGTTGGGAATTTAGGACTTCATGATGTCAGTACATTGTACATTAAAAAAACATACAGCAGAAAGAATGAGACCCTGAGCTATGGAGGAGTAGAGCTTGGAAGTAAAGCAGGCACATAACCCCCCAGCAGAATCCCAAAAATATATCCAGTGTCATCAACCTCTACTAAAAGCTAGAATTTCAGGTTTGGGTGGACCTTTTTAAAGCGGACCCCCACCCTCCCTTTAATAAACCTGACTACACTAATGCAATATCTGTAGGAAAAACAGAGTTATTAGTTACTTGCCTACTTTCTCCCCAGTCTGTGGTCTGTTCTTATCCTCTTCCTGAAAATCTCTCCCTATTGACAAACCAGATCTCCATGGAAGGCACTGGTGACGTAACCTTCCCAGGGGGCAACTTCACTTGTCTCCTAGTTTGCTCTGTGTTGTATCATGGAAGCAGGAACTGTTTCTGTATTAAGTGACAAATTGGAATCTTTTATTCATGGTTTCACTGCTGTGTACGACAATGATGTCCTTCCTCTTTCTAGTAAACACATTCTTGTGGATCCAACGAATGAGGAGGAGAGTTTGGCCACTGGGTTGATGACTATAGTGACAGATGAAGATGGAAGGTTATGTACTATCAGAAAGCCAGGTAAATATAAAAATAAAGTGATCTTCACAGATATATTATAGGGGGGAATTTATCAAAACTGGAGGAGACAAAAACTGGAGCAACTGTGCAGGGCAACCAATCAGCTTCTCTCTTCAGTTTGTTCGGTTAAGATTTGAAAATGAAAGAGAGAAGCTGATTGGTTGTCATGCACAGCTGCTCCAGAATTTGTCTGCTCCAGTTTTGATAAATTCCCCTCTATATGTATTAAGTACATAGTTATTTGAATACAACATTTTTTCCCCCCCAAGATACTTGTCCTTCAAAAACCTTTACTGCCAACAAATTAGCCAAAGGCTTAATAAAATTGACAGCCACAAAAGCAGCCATTAGCTGGTTTGAAACTTTTTCTTCGTTGGATTGCCATAACATTTATTTGAGGGATTTGGGAATCTAAGAGGCCGTTGGGTTATACTGCTGCCTACAGAGTGGATTGGATGCTTGCACTTAAAAAAAAAAAAAGTGGGCCAGTCCAGTATTAGCCCTTGTACCAAGCTCATGATCATATAGGACTACAAGTGGATTTTATTTTTTTGATAGGTGACCCCAAGTTAGGCTTTACCTTCAAAATGATGGCAGTGTTTTACCACCAACACCCTTTTTGTTACCAGCATGTTCTTCATTGCAGTTCACAATCCTTCTAGGAACACTGCTGTAATGTAAACGCTTCTGTCCATATCTAGTAATATTTTCTACACCATTCAGCCATAACACATGCAAGCCATTTATATGCAGATGGCCTTGTCAGTGCATTGTGACTATATTTCTGACGGCCGTGTACTCGTCATATCCTTTTGGTTAAACAGGTGGCAGCGCTCTGTCAGCAGAAAAGCTTCAGGGATGTATCAGTCGAGCAATCACCAGACACAAGGAGGTGCAGAATCTGCTGGATGAAGTGCTGGTCAGCGTAACGACGGAATAAAAAAAAAAAAAAAAATTTTAAAATGAACATGTAAAAAGTTTGTATTTGTTATAGTGATGCACACCTTTTTTTTTTGTACTAAATAAAACAAATTTGCTATGTGTACAGAGTTCTCTATACGGTCACATGATCAGTCTATTAACCCAGAGATCGCAATATACTCTAATATCACATGGCTTCTTAAAACTTGGGGTAGGATCTCTATCACCACATTTTCAGATTCATTCATGGTCAGCTGACTTCAGATTAGTCATCTCTACACAAAGCTCATTAGTGATGAAGGTGTAACATTTAAAACTATTGGAGAAGGCATTTGCTGGCTGATGTGTTCAGTGTCTTTCGTTGTTGCTGGTGGATGAGTGTGATCTCAGGATTTTGGTTCCAGGGCAGAGCGTCCTCTCAGTTTACTTCTTGATTTGCTGTCGGAATGAGGAAGGTGCTGTGCTGGTGCTTGTGCTGCTGCCGTAGCCATTTGGTGCATTTGATGTTGCAAGAATTGCAACTGTGAACACAGGAGGGGAAAAAAAACAAATGTGAACAATTATCCACAATCAAATTCAGCAAAGTCTTAATCTAAGCGAAAGGTGTATGGCTTCAATGCAGGACAAGTACAGACATGAATGAGCAGTCATGCAGCATTAGTGGTACCAAAGCATATCTGATTGTACTTTGCCAGTTGTAATAATCTTGTTTGGCTTATAAACACTTGCAGGAATTAATTCGGGTGTCAGGGCAAAAATCAACCTGGCTATAAAAGTCTCTTCAGACCTGCTATGTAAAGCAAGGAAAATGCAAGAGGCTGTAGGCAGCATTCACACAGCAGACACTCTGCTAAGCATTTGCATGGATCTGGTTCAATAACCCCTCTTGTCCTTGACACGTGGGAAAGCATGCCAGCCACCAGCGTTAGATCCCTGGGATAGAGGCGTAAGCAAGAGGTCACAAGGTCTACATTTGTAAAGAACTAGATGCTGAACTAAGCTCCTCTACAACAGCGTCTTGCATCTGCACATTATAAAGTTGTCCATGTTTGATAACACCGACCTCACCAGTAATCTAATTACCCAAATTCATATTTTAGCATGCCCTGTATCTGAAATACAGAGAACGGAATTGCCAGACTGTCTAAATGCGCTTGAGGAACCTATAATGAAATCCTAACCTATGATACCTATTCTGATAGGCTCCGTTCCACCATTGGTGCCTTAACACAGCTTGTGGTTGCAACAGTGCAATTTTAGTGTGGGCCCTGACATGGCCCATGCACAACTGTCCCAGCTTCACTAAAATCTTTGCTTGCAGACTACTTCGTGCTGCACTGCCTCTTCTCGTGGATGGTTCCTGCTCTTACCATACGGCAATCTCCATTCATTTTAGTGGAAAGTTTAAACTATGCCTTTTAAAAAGCCCAACTCCAGCCAAACGCCTGTAATTATGGAGAGAGGAGGAAAGTAGTAGACTCTGTTAGATTATTACAGCAGTCTGTCTTTGCTGGGAAGATTTTCCCCACACTGTCACTGGGACAGGAAGAAGAATCTCTCAAATGAAGACACAAGCGGCAATGCAAACTCTCACACCTGACAGTGGTTCGAATAGGTTCCCATTCTCTGCAAAGTGGGGACATAAAATAATTGTTTGGCTGGGGTTGGGCTTGAAGCAAATCCAGCTACTTAGTGATCACGCAGTTTTGCCTATCGGATTAATTTATAACAAGAAATGGGCAGGTTAGGATTAGTTTACAGGGAATCCCCAGCTACAAGCTGTTGTGTTTTTTTTTAGATGTTTCCATGGTAAAAAGGTTAAGGCTGCAGTTCCACTTTAAGGTTTAGGACCACATTAATGAGACCCTGTCACCAGACCATTCATTTCAGCATTAATCCTCTCACATTATGTGTGCATTTAACATATTTTAGGCATGTTATTTACCTGTAAAATTTTCCCTGAGACTGCTGCTAGGTGCTGCCATCTTGGATGTGATGTCAGCAGTACCATCAGACTTTGAGCTGTCACCGTGTGACAGAGTGACACTGTATAGTAATCCCCTTTGCTCCTCCTCAGCAGATAAATAAAAGGTAGAGAGGTGCAGGTTGGAGGAGCTGTGCCAACACAGACGTAAATTAAACACTCCCAAAAGAGGAGAGGGCTATGATGTCCAAGAAGGGAAAAGTGTGTGTGTGTGTGAGGTCTGGGCTTGGAATTGACACTTTTTGAAGTCTCAATTCCCTAGCAAATTTAGAGGCAAGATAGTTTACATGAAACATTTTTCCTCTCCATATTTACCAAACTTTATTTTTGTGATTTTTTCCCTGCAATGTTTTAAGTTACTTTTGAGGGTCTCTTCTTTTGGTTTCCAGCCATATTGTTTTTTGTAACAAGTGAAAGGTCCCAAGGTACAATTGCCTGATCTTGTATTCCTGATCTGTGATTGCATGAGATGGGCAGCCAAGGAAATGACAAACGGAGGTGATCAGTCAGTTGCGCCATGAAAACAGCTGTCAAGAGTAAAATTGTCACCTTGGCTACAAGTACAAGATATAGGCAGCTGTATGGAGAAAGAGTGGACCCCTGGCAGAGATGTTGAGGCTGCACTCACACCTATCTTTTTTTTTTTTTTACAAGCATTAAGTTAAAGGAGAAGTATTAGGAGAGTAAAATCTACTCTTCCCAATACACTGCAGCTCTCACATGCCACCTCTATAGATCGAGAGCTTTCAGCCCACAGTCTCCTCGCCACAGAGAGCAGTGACTGTCAGTCATCCCCCCTCTCCCCTTTCTGTTCCTCCAGTACTCATTGGAGGAACAGACAGGGGAGGGGGCGGGCACAGCTGTCAATCAGGCAGGAGGGTGGATACTGGCTGCGGCACGGCTCTGCACTGTGAGCAAATAGCGGTAAGAAGCTCTGTTCTGTATTACTAAACCTATTAAAAAGCATTGGACCCGAAGAGAAATGACACTAAGAACATTCCTTTTGCCTGATTCTCACAAAATCTGGTCAACTCACACAGAACAAATTTACATGCCGTTTCACTGGGCAAAAAGTCTATACACTCCTTTGTAATGAATGGACCCTTCTGTGACTTTCCAATACTTAACAGCTGATGGTTTAAGAGAAGGTGCCATGTCTGTGTAGCTGTGGGGGGCTATCAAGGGACCACTTTCTGAACCTGGTAAGCTCTTTCAGTATGGATCCAGGCTGCTGAGCCACCACATACAACCCATTCACAAGAACAAAAATGTCATATATTGCGACTTACCAGTCCTATAGATTAGGTTGGTGCATTATTTTTTCAGGCTTTTTTCCCCCTTTTATCTCCTAGTGATCCCGTGTGTAAAACACTTCCTGTCCTAGGGTGACAACACTAACTCACCGTACTATATCTATGGATACAGTGCAATGAGATGTCAACTTAGGACAGGGTGTGTATTTAGAGTACAGAACACCCCACCCCCCTTCTCCTAATCTTCATAACAGATGGGAGGAGGGGTTTCTAAACTGCGCAGAGCAAGCTGGAAATGATGTAGTGCAGCATAGGCAAGAATCACAGGATGTTATCAGATCACGAGATATTTTCCTGCACTCAGCAAACGTATAACAAAACACTTTTACTGGTATACCTGGATAGACCAAAAGAGAGCGAATAAGAGAAGTTCATTGTTAGGGTTCACACGCACTTTACATTTTTCTATCATGCAAGCTAGCAAAAGCAGAAATATAATACAGCCAATGGTGGAAGCTATCCAGAATGACCCAAAATCACTTGGGGGAGTTTGCTGAAAGTATCTGAATGGACTTAATATTACTAATCTACAGTATTTATGAACTAAGGGAGGGTGACCCTCTTCTAAAGCCCAGCACTAAAGTCCCACATGCAGTGAATTGCAGATTACATGCACTTGTTCTAATCCTGAAGTTGTACAATTATTCCACATTTATTTTAAAGCCCAACTGAACTTTCAGCTTAAGGGCCGGTCCACAGCAGCTCAAGTGGGTTCCAGCACAATTCGCTGCAGGAACGCACTGGAGCACATCCCAGCCGGCTTCCTGGGTTCAGGGTCGGGAGGGGGCAATGCAATCGCCAGCACCAGAACTTGTGGCACATGAGTGACTGCGTTTGGGTCCAGTGCCATCTGAAAAATTGCTGCATGCACTATTTTTTCAGATTGCACTGGACCGGAACACAGGGACTGATGTGCCACGTGTTCTGGTGAGGGCGATCGCACTGCGAATCCTGCTGCAACGCACCGAAGCTGGTGTGAACCAGCCCTCAATCAGCTTACATCTTACATTAAATCAGTTTACAAGACAGATATATCAAAACAAAAACGAGTCAAAGCCTTACAGTTCATTTCCTTTAGAAAGCAGCCACAGCAGGAGTAAAAAAGCCTGTCCACTGCCAGCATGACATAACGAAAACTCTGTGTTGAAGCAGTGGTCTCTCTGCAGAGGTCCAATGCATCCCTTCCTTGTCAAACCTATAGGGAGCTCATGCTCCCTGCTGACTGGACAGCTCTACCTCGAAGGGCTCATTCACAATGGAATCGGCCCACACGTACAGCTCCATGCAGGGCCATATCGGGCAGCTCCCGGGAAGGACATGTGCTGCGTGTGATTAGTACGCAGCCCCTGTCCTCTATGGGACTACGTGGCCGTACGCCTCTTATGCTCACCTCAAGTGCAGGTCCGTAGGGGTGCATGTTTCCTGGCTCAGATGCAGACAGGATCCAGCCGATTCCAGTGTGAATGAGGGCTAAACCAGCATTGGGTGTGTCGGACCTCTGCAGAGAGAGCAAGGGTCGGTCTATACAGCAAAGGGCACAGGTTTTTTTTACTCCAGCTGAGGCTACTTTCTAAAGAAACAAACTTTTGTTTTGATGCACCTGGAATGCATTTTGCTGATGTAAACGGAATGCTCAGTAGGGCTTTACATGTCAGAAAAATTATTTTGTGTAATCTGCATTCTTCAGTTTGGTTACTATTTGTTGCTTTAGTGCCTGCCAGAGCCATTATCGTAGAGCTATGGATTACTTGGATATGCTGCTTTTGCTGCTGCAGTTGTAAGGCAGGAGAGAGCTGCAGATTCTGGTATGGACGACCCTGCCCGGGTCTATTCACAGTAGAGCCGAGCTGGGGTGACACTACGGAGAGGAGAAGGGAAGAGTATGCAGGTCAAAGGGGAACAGTGCTTACGAGATGAACAGACACTGAAATTCTGGGTGTAATAATTATATATATATATACCGTGTTTCCCCGAAAATAAGACAGTCTTATATTTTTTGGGGCTCAAAAAAAACACACTAGGTCTTATTTTCGGGGTAGGTCTTATTTATTAATTTTTTTTATGCACAACACTTCAATCCACACTTATTCATGTACAAATATATGGTGATCAGGGCAAGCCGTACCTTTCCAAGAGCAATTTGGTAACCAATCGCTGGCCAGAATGGGGGAAGCGTGCTTTCACCATCGATTCCTCACAGGCGGAGTGTATTTGGTATCTCTCCGCCTGTGACAGGAGCCGACGCTATAGAGGAAGCATCGGCTTATGCGGCCTCGCTTCCTCTAGCGCTGGCTTCATTGGCATCGCTGATTCTCTCCCGCGGCTCTTCAAGTTCCCCCTTATGCCACCACCGGCCCTGGGAATGGTCACAACTAGGTCTTGTTTTCGGGGTAGGTCTTATATTTTAGCAATTCCCAAAAATAGTACTAGGTCTTATTTTCGGGGAAACAGGGTGTGTGTGTGTGTATATATATATCTTGGGTTGGAGCTTTTAGCAGCCTGTCAAAGGAAAATACATTGCTGGAAAATCTGCACGATATTTCACTCCCATATCCCTAGGAAGATACAGAATGGTAGCCATAGATGAAAGCAGCAGTTGGAGCTGAAATGTGCAAACTATTATCTAACGCAGACCTATATTACAAACTTTTCAAACAAATTCAGTTGCTTTATTGGGTACGATACCCAACTTATAAAAATTAATCTAGAACAGTTTAATTATCACGTAGACGGGACTTAAAGCTCACATCCAGACAAAACCTTTGTTTGCTTTATGGGGTAGGGTGGGGAAGGGTTTCAATGTTGTTTGGGTCCCCAGTGGGGATATTTTAACTTGCTTCCTTCTCTGTAACCTGGCAGGAAGTGAGGGGAAATGGTGCCAGTGGGCACACAGACATATATACAATGCACATTGGCTAGATGCACCAGAATGCCATTTAAAATGAACACATAATAAAACATTGGCCGACAAACGGGTAAAGATGGGCCCCAAGGAATCCTTCATGTCTACTGGTTCTGTTGTGGTGCATTACCAAACGCAGATCAGCGTGCAGTATTTTGTTCATTAAAGCACATTGCAGTAAAACAAAACTGAAGACCATATGTGAAAACTTGCCAGCAGGAAGGATTTATATTGCAGAAGAGACATAATATCTGGCCATACCATATTAGATTTGTTTCATTCAGCCTGCGGGCTCAACGAAAAAAACCCCAAAATCTAACAGATCTCTCCAGTCACGCTAAACAGCATGGATGGACTAATCTCCCGCTGCCAGCCATTGTATTTAGACAGCCGTTGAATGACTGGATGCAGACACTGTTCATTAAAATATTTTTTTGGGCAGACTCCTTTGACAAAAGTTGACTGAATTTGAAAGGGCCACCCGCGGCTTGAATTTTTAGCCAGTCCCTTAGCAACCGCATGACGTTCACAGCCACCTATAGTCTCTTCTGCCAATTATGGATGAACTCCTGTGTGCATGAGCAGCACTTATGTCATCCCGGGGTGGGCAATCAAAATGGACAAAGACTCCAGACCCGGATGAAGCTGGGGAGAAGATGTCACTGCTGGTGAGAAAGCTTGTGGACGTTACATCATTGGAGGGCAGGCGATGGGTTTACTTCCACCTTATGATGGCATGGAATGAAATGTGTTTATACAGAATGATGCCAAAATGCAGCACACACAGCGCAGTGTGTTACAGACAAATGCAATGTGTGTAAAGGGGGGGATTCTTTATTCATAAAAACTTCAAGCCTGCACAACATTTCATCAACTTTGTACCAGTGGGGAAATTTGCATCCACTTCCTTTCCCAGAGACAAGAGAAATTAGAGAAAATTTCCTTAGACAATTGTCTCTGGAATAGGTGGCCCCATTGGAAGATTTTTTTTTTTCCCCCTGACCTCTTACACTGGGGACAACTCTAACATTTTTGATTTCCCCTCACTTTCTGTCCTGGTGGCAAAAATAATCAGGACAGAGTGGTGAAGGTCCCCAATGGGGACATAGCAAAAAACCTGACGGAAGGCCTAACTCTTTCCTGCACTATCCATAACTAAATAAAACAACAACAAAAGGTTTTGTCTAGAGACACTTTAGGTGACCTCCACTGATATACTTTATGAGTAGTGATTAGAAATAGGTTACTGTGATTTCAGCAACCATGTTATACTACACATAGGGGTCTCATGGGTATATAGAGCTGGCAACCAGCAAAATTAGGAGAAAAAATAAATAAAATAAATTTAAGACCAGAGGAACACATGGCAAGGTCAGGAACTGCAAAAGAGGGAAGAGAGGCCATTATGCAAAGAGAAGTTTAGGCAAACAGTAAACCCTTAAAAATGCATTCAGGTACCTTATCTATTCACAAAAATGTATCTTATTTGTGTATCACTCGGCTGTAGAACCCCAAATCTCTGAATTTATGATTACACTGTCCTCCCTTCTGGAGGGTGGCTACTTTAGTTCCCCATAGTCTCTGTGTGTGTTGTAAAGTAGTCACCGCTCCAAGCTTGCTCCCATGATGGACTACAATCTCAGTACAAATTAGTAAACTAAACATGAGATTGTAGCGAGCTTGGAGCAGTGCCTACTTTACAACACACACAGGGACCATGGGGAACATGGTTGATGATTTCATAGACTACAATGTCATGTTTAGTTTACTAATTTGTATTGAGATTGTAGTCCATCACGGGAGTGAGCTTGGAGCGGTGGCTACTTTACAACACACACAGGGACCTTGGGGAACAAAAGTAGCCACCCTCCAGAAGGAAGGACAGTGTCAGCACCAATTCAGAGATGATTTGGGGATCTACAGCCGAGTGATACACAAATAAGATACATTTTCGTTACTAGTTAGGATACCTGAATGCATTTTTAACATTTAACGCCTGAATTTAGGGTCATGTTAAAAGATATCTAACAAATGCTACCTGTAATGTCGCATGTGCACAGCAGAGGGCAGCAGAAAGACAATATTTTCTTCAAAATGGTAAATACCAGAAAAAAAAATTACAAAAAGCTAAATTCAATATCCTACTATTTGCTTCCCTCCCTTCCCCAGAGCCTCTATTAGGATGAACAGATCTTGGGTTTTTCTTTACACTTGGAAACGACTTTTACTATTGCTGTTTTTTCTTTCACTTGAAAAGTGTTTCAGGTGGCTTCAAGCTGCTGTAATTACTCTTTTAAAATATGAAGTCATGTGAAATCTTTACGATCTATTCCCATAACAAGAAAGCGCTTTCACCTCTTCGCTGGAATGGATTTAACTGAATTGGAAAATATGTGTTCTTCTCCATCCCTCATAATTATTCATTTGATTTATTTTTCTACAAATATTTAGTGAAACGCATACACTTATTCCTCGAAGAATGACTTGTTTCTTGCAGACAGCTGCAATTGTTAACACAAGTAGCAGCTGCCACACTGCTCGCTGCAGTTATAAATGTAATAGGAATAAACAGAATTATAACACCCGGCAGCCACATGGTGAAAAGGTCCATTTAAAATGCTGGGCTCATATTTCCAAACAAAACATTTTCTACACATCAGTCATGGAAATCTCACACTTGCTCTTGTCAAAGCTTCAAAATATACACTACATTCTAAAGTCAATTTAAAATCGGTTAATTTGTAATGCAAGTTAAAGAATGCCATTAAAAATGGAAGGTTGTTTTGGTTAGAGAGAGGCAGGATTCCATCACCCACTCCAAGCAAAGCTATGATGGCCATATTTATGGTACTAAAAATGAGATGAGACAATCACAAGTCTATGGAAGCTGCTGCTGGCCACTATCACAGGAGTACTAGTTAGTTATTCCAGTCAACATTGTTCCCCCTGATAAAGCAAATATATGAAGAATTTAATGACGCCATTAGATCGACGCGACAGTCAGTAAGGCATTTTAAAGACGGATGACAATGCCAATCCCGATATTTTCGGCATAGAGGGTTTTAAGTTTTTTTTTTTACAGATGCTCAAAGCTTTACCTCTGTAACGGCATCAAGTCCTACATTTGCTGTCTGTAGGAGCGACTGTCTCCAGCAGAATCTTCCACTCCCAATACACTTCCAGGTATGTCAGATGTCTAGTTCCCAATGCGCTCTATGGTTCCTTTTGTCTGCTCCTATATTCCCTACTGTGTCCTATAGTGACATACTGGTCGGAGGAATTAACCACAGCGCTCAGCAGGGGACAAAGACATCTGAAAGTGTTGGATGCTGAAGATTCTGTTAGAGGCCATAACACAGTGAGGACTTCCCACCCACTGGAGAGGAAGAGTAGTAAAGGGTTACTTCACCCATCCAATGACACTGTCCATGCATTCAAGCATCCCCATACATAAAAAAACCACTTCACAACTATGGCAGCAGAAGCTCCTTTTAATGTAATACCTGTAGGCCATGCAAACCCTTCCAAGCCGGACTAGAAAAACTTCTGTGCAAGGGACCCTCTCCTTCCCATCTAGGAGGGACAGGCTGTTGGATTCACACCCCCATCAAACGAGCTCTGGGCCTCGTTCAAAACTGTGCATGTACAGTGGGCTCTCTCTTTTACTCTGTCGCAGCAGTCAGAGCGACAAAGTGCACTGCACATGTGCAGGTTAAGGACAAGACCACGTGCTCTTCCCTGTGGTGCAGAGGCATGCATACATTGGTTGGCGCAGAGGGTCCCTTGCACCAGGAGTTTTTGTTTTTTTTATAGACAGGCTTGGGAGAGGCTGTACATGGCCTACAGGTATGACATTGAAAAGAAGCTTCGTCTTGTTTTTTCAATGTACTGGGGTTGCTGGAATGGATGGGCATTTGGGTCCTGAAGAGCTATTGAAGCACTGCGGGGGGTTCAAATTGTGCACCACAGACATTGATTTGGGTGGATTTCCACTCATAATCTCATTTAAAATAGCTCCATACCTCAATTTAAATCCAAACATGAAAAATGATCACAGGTACCTACTCTAATTCTGCCTGCCAGGAAATCATTAGACCACCCAGAGACAATATCAAGTATGTTCTCAGAAAATTGGAACATGGAGTCATGAGTGTGAATGTGATCTCCACTGATTGACAAGAGTCTGACAGATCATGAACTGTTAGCAGTAAGACCTGGAATGCCTATAAAAGAGCTCCCAGCAACAAACAGGTGAGTGATGTTTCACGTAGGGTATGGACTTCCACTTTTGCTGCATGACTGTTGAGGACAGTCTGTGTCAACAGACTGCTGGTGAGTTGGGGTGTTGAAAAGTATGTTATTGGGGAATAGAATATAGGAATACATACCAGCTGCCTGCTGAGGCATAAAACCACCTACTCCTGTTAGATTAATGACAGCTGCTTGCTGTGAAGATAAAGTCTGTTCTTGACTGTTAGAACCTTGTTCCATTCCCTGGCAGGGTGAAAAGAAAAAGCAGATGACCAGTAAACCTTCAAATATCCTAAACAAAATATCCTAAATAAAGAGAGACTTATAACAGACATGGTACTTAAAACATAACTCCACTTTGTTAACTGTATTTGTTAACTGTATTGGCTGTATTTGTTAACCATATCCCACAGGTTTTTTGTAAATAGAACTACAGTATGTTTCTAAGGGTTTAACAATATTGTAGCTTGCATTAATGATGTCACTGTACATCAAAGTTGCCTACTGAATATCTATGTATAAGCCTAGGTGTGTGCTATGGCACAGTGAAATATATAACATGGGTGTAAATGTTGGCAGGACCTCAATGACACTCAATGAACTAAATATTGGCGCTTGTGCTCAGTGCACTAATTGTAGGGGCTTGTGCTATAGCAAGGTGACCCCATGTTTTGTTCAATGCCAAAGCTCTCTATTCATACCATCCAAACAGGCAGGATCAAACTGAACTCATGTGATGTGCATGCCTCCAGAATTGATCGTCATCATTCTCCTTCACTACAGAAGGCAGATTCCTACATTGTAATGTTTTGAAACCCCAAAGGACATAAGACAGACACCTTGACATCCTCAGTACCCAGCACTTCCAGGATGAAGGAGCATGTGACCTCCTCCTAAGTGAGAGTGCTTAAGTCTAGCATCAAATCGCTAGGTCAGAGCACTGTCACATGACTGGGGGAGTTACACCACTGCTCCCCTGGGTCGGCAAGACCAGTCCACAATATATATAAGTTTTTTAAAATGCTATCCATCATGCAGTTACTTTTACAGATATGCCTACTGTATATTTGTGTGGTTTTCCTAAAGAAAGCTGCAACAACAGAAATGGCTTTATTACAGCTTGCAGATGTTTATATACAATCCCCATATGTGTTCTACTTTGTAATGTATTAAAAACAGCACCAAGCAAGTATGACAACTGAAGTGTATGCTTTTACTCCATACAATATAAATGCCATGTGCAATAGGAGTGCCTTTTTTCTATGATGGCCAGAACCAGGCCATACTTCCAGGAGGGACAGCTCAGAATGGTGTGCTGTTGTTAATTAGTGATCCAAGACAGTTCTATGATATCATCAGGCTCTAAAATGTGTTACCATGTTTAAGGAATGCAGCCATACAACAAAGCAACGTTGGTTGAAACAGGATATGCATATCTTTGTAAATATTTTGCAAGGAGAAAAAGTTGAATAAGGGTTTCAAAATGTGTATTTGCCAATTGGCTTTGGAGTTACTCGTTAAAGTGACAGTCCACCCAAAAGTAATCCTTCATATATGTCAAGTTTGATAGGCTAAGTCTGCCACTGACGACTTATAACTCTTGGGCAGGTTCTCAAGCAGCAGATGCAGAGGTATGAGCGATATAAAAAGACTAAAAAGGTGCGCACATCCAGTATACAACCACCTGATATTGAGCAGGTAACCCTTTTGCTGCCAAAACAGCCCTGAACTGCTGAGGCATGGACTCCACTAGACCTCTAAACGTATGCTGTGGTATCTGGCACCAAACTCTCAGTAGCAGATCCTTAAAGTACTGTAAAGGTGCGAGGCGGGGCCTCCATGGATCGGACCGGTTTATCCAGCACATCCCACAAATGCTCAATTAGACTGAGATCTGGATAATTTGGCGGCCATGTAAACACCTCAAACTCCTTGTTGTATTTGTCAAACCATTCTTGAACCATTTTTGCAGTGTGGCAGGGTGCATTATCCTGCTGAAAGAGGCCACTGTCATCAGTGAATACCGTTTCCATGAAGGGGGTGTAATTGGTCATCAACAATGTTTAGGTAGGCGCATCACCTCTGTGGGATTGCCTTCATCCCATAGTGCATCCTGGTGCCTTCTCTTCTCCAGGTAAGCAACACACAAGCACCCAGCCATCCACATGATGCAAAAGAAAATGCGATTCATCAGATTCTATTGTTCTGTGGTCAGGTGCCCATTGTAGGTGCTTTTGGTGGTGGATACAGGTCAGCATGGGCAACTTGACGCAGGTCCATATGCAACAAACTGCGATGTGTTCAAACACCTATCAGAACCATCAATAATTTTTTCAGCAACTTATGCACCAGTACCTCTTCTATTGAATCGGACTACACTGGGTCAGTCTAAGCTCCCCACCTGAATCATCAATGAGCCTTGGCACCCATGACCCTGTTGCTGGTTTACCAGGTTTCGTAGGTCCTAACCACTGCAGACCAGGAACATCCCACAAGAGCTGCAGTTTTGGAGTTGCTCTGACCCAGTCATCTAGCCTTCACAATTTGGCCTTTGTCAAAGACACTTAAATCTTTATGCTTGGCCATTTTTTCTGCTTACAACTTCAGGGACAAAATACTGTAGTCACCTGCTGCTTAATATATCGCACCCACTTCCAGGTGCTATTGTAACAAGATAATCAATGTTATTCACTTCACATCAGTGGTCAATGTTATGACTGATTGGGGGGTGTATATATATCTTGAGGAAGATGGACTAAGCTCCATAGAAACTGACAATTAAACACTGTTGCTTTGACTTATGTCTGCAGCAAGACCCAAGAGTGCCTCTATATCTTCTTTGGATTTGTATGGATATCTTTGTTGATGTGGACCTAGGCATTTACCTTACAAATAGAGTGTGGTGGCTACATCTATTTTTATTTTTTTATGTATTTACTTTTTTAGGTTTTGGATAGAATGGGGAACCATAAACATGAACTTTTTTTTATCCAGGTAGGAAGTGAGGAATGATGTCCAACCACAACACAGACATCTCCCCTCACTTCCTGTCCGGTGAAACCACTCTTACCATGACAAGCTTACATCTTAATTGCAATTCTGTTGTGAGAAGTCACCAGCAAGAGGATTGCTAGAATATGCAAAGAAAACACTCCCCTGCTTTGTAGAATGTAAATCGCTGGTGGGAGATTGACACCTCGCTCATCCAGCTGGTGAGGAAGCAACATGTACAAGCAGGTGAGTGTTTCACCTCCCTGCTGTGTCCTATATATCAAACCTTCTATTGAGTATAGCAAGTGTGACATTAGCCAGAGGGGAAATTTCTTGGAGCCCAAGATAGCAGTAAAAGCCTAAAAGGAGTTCTAATCCTCCGCCACATTATCCAAAACTAAAACTAAAAAGTAGGAATTTACATGTTGAGGCATTTATTTGCAGTTCCATATTAGTGAGTATATCATCCTGGGCATTTTTTAATCCCCTTATACTGACCCAAAGTGTAGTCATATAATGAACGATCTTGTGATGAAAAGACGATATTGCTTTTCAGCTGACAAAAAAGGGAATTTTTTTTACCGACATGTCACTAAACAAAATTGGTCCATGTGTTCATAATTAAACACTGGAAGTGCACAGTCCAAAGATTATCCCTGATGATTTGATCACCCTCAAATGAAGGATTATGTAAAAAGAAATTGTGTTTTTGATTTACCAAAATGCCCAATCCCACATTTAGCTTAGGTTCTAATTTAGTATCTGCCTCAACGATACTTCTCACTTGGATGGGAGAATATGCCTGTGGTTTATCTTCTTACAAAGTATATGTGAAGCCGATTCAAAGTTGATCTCAATGCATTAAAAATAAACGCAATCTTTTATGTATGTATACCCTGGCATAGAACTTACCGATGGTAACAGTCCCAGCTGATCTCCCTGCTGCTGGGGACTGGCCGTGGTGGTCTGCTGGGACTGCTGAGGTGAATACTGGGACAGCGAAGGGTTCTGTTGCTGCATTGGGTTGAATATGAGTGAACCACCAGGAAGCTGTTTCAAAGACGACACCCAGTTTGAGAAAAACGTGCAGTGCATTCATTGCAGAGAATGGTCACACAACATACTAAACATATCTAATCTTTACCAAGTCACATGTTACAGGAAACACAGTATAGACACACCATGTGCAGTGGGAGTAAATCAGCTTTTAGACTTTGTTTCCATGTTGTTAGACTGCACTACAGATATTTTCACCACTTAAAACATTTTTCAGGAATGCAATTGAGGTACTTTAGTTATCTCATAGAATGTAAGTGCAAATAGTATATGTGCTACTGGGCTCTTTATTTGTTGTCTGTGCATTTGCACTAAATTCTGCACATAATGAACCAACTTTTCTCTGTTTAGTACCCCAGGTGCCTTATAGCCTCCTTCACACTTCTAAAACAACAGGTCTAATTCACAAAGCTTTAACACAAGCCTAAGGCACTCTATTTTCAGTCATGTGGCAGTTTTTGTTTCTTAAATTTCACTTAAACTAAAATGACTGTCACTTTGTGGGAAAAAAAGGATACTTACCGTGGTGTGTTAGCTTAATGACTTGAGTCTAATAAAAGGCTGAATGTTCTATAGATAAGGGCCTGTTGCATGATAAGTGTGCTACTGGTGCAATCCTTATTACTAAAGCAACCAATCCCTTTCCTTGAGTTATCTCAACCAGAACTGTGCAAATGACAGAGGCAAACTTGCTGTTTGTCATGGAGTACCAATAGATTTTCCTACAGTGCATTTATAAACATTAGGTAGAAAAGGTATACTTCTGTGCAGGATTGTTATATTGATATAAAATGTGTAAATAAATATTTATGTTTATTTGAATATATTTTATGACTGGCATTTCAACTGTCAATGTGCTGTAATATATTTTGCAGTATGGCCTTCAGGAAAAACAGTGTGGCCTTACATAGATTAAGTGTACAAAACTTATCCCCGGGCCCAATTTTACTATCAATTACCACCTCAAAGACTCAGCGATCTGTGAAACGTTTATATATGACTCTCCCCCATTTTGAATTCAACATTGGGTCAGCAAACTATGAGTTTAGTTATACCAATGCATGCAGCCATTTTGAGTGACACCTCATAGTATTACCCTTTGCTCCTCCCCCATTTCTCCATAAAAGTTTATTTAGGGAGGTAGAGGAGGAGTGGAGATGCTGGGTCAGCACGGAGCATAATTAGACACTCCCAGAAGAGGCGAGGGTTATGGCATGTGAGGAGGGGGGGCTGTGCTAGGGAAATAACACTTTCCGGAGTAGTCAAATTTTCTAGCAAGTTTAAAGAAATTGCAAGAGAATAAAGAATAATTTAAAAGGCTTCTGTGGGGCTTTGTGGTCCGAAAGCCCTGAAAAACCGCCCCATGATTGGTCCAACACTAGCTGAACATATCCAGGCCCACTAACCCCTCTCTCAGATAATCCCGAATCTCCACCAGCAATAAAAACTCACTTTTGCCTAATACTCTAATAATCTGCTTGTGGCAGCAGACTGTACACTTCATGGGAAAATGAGTAACAGACATTATTTAATTATACGATGGCAGGATAAACCCCTACTTATGTGGACATATCAAAAACTACATGGTGAACCAACATTTTTTCCTTCAAACAGAGGGAAACCATGAAAGGGACTTTTCCCTTTCAAAAAGATTTATGCCAAAAAATGTCCCAGCAACTAAGTCATCTCCTAGAGCTAGAAGGAATTATAGACACATAGTGAAGACCATACATTTTAATCAGATTTAAGACAACTTGGGATGGAGTGTTTCAGATTTCACTTAGTGATAACAGTGGGAAAGGGCATGAATGCTGGCCCATAAATGCTCTATTAGCACCAGAATAAAGGAAACCTGCTATAAGATTCTTACACATTGGTAAGCCACTCCTGTCAAACTCCACTCGTGGTGCCACAACAAATTTGACCGATGCTGGAGATGTCAGCTAGCCAAAAAATCTATTATTTAGATTTGGTGGGAATGCCCCCACATCTCCCCCTTCCCCACTGGACCATTACAGACCTTCTTACTACATATATAAAAAAAGAATAACCTTATTTTTGTATGTTACCTACAAAATGTTAAGTAAAGAGGGGCAGGGCATAAACATACTGGTGCCACACCATGATGTCAGAGACACAGACTGTTAAACTGGGAAGCAACTAGTGCTGCAACCAAACTAATCGATTATTCAATAATAAATCAATGAGAATAGTTGCCAGGGATTCTCATTATTGATTAGTTGGTTGGATCCCTTAGTGTTCTCCTCCACGCTGGGAGCTGGTGTTTCATCGGCTTTGTGTCACCCCAGATCCCTGCTGCTGGTGCCCAGCCTTAAGCAGCGCATGTCACTTTCTCCTTCAGGTCCCTCCTCTGCTGACTGACAGCAGGCAGTGGACTGGTGCAATAGCCAGCCTGCTATGGGCTATTGCAATTTGAAATAGCCCATAGCAGGCTGGCTATTGCACCCCCCCCCCCCCCCGCCCGCTGTTTTTACATTATTTTTCCATTTCTGTATTTTATTTTAAATTAGGTATGGCATTTATTTTTTTATCCAATTGAAAAAATGATCAGCCAACTAATCGATTATGGAAACAAAAATCAACAGTTGCAGCCCTAGAAACAACATTATATTTATAATTCTTCCCATTAAGCTCTGTTGTGAACACCTAACAGGATACAAAATACACAGCAAAACATAAATTAAAATGCATTTCTATCTCAGCTGTCTTGCAAAGGATTGTTTTAACATGGATTTTCTGCAATTTACTGCAAGATGTTTTTGTGTAAAAGATCTGATAAAGTTTATTTTTACTTTATCATAATTATTGTTTAATATGTCCATTTTTAACTCTTACTTTTGGGCTAAAAGATTATAATTTTATATATTTTTGTTTGCTTGCAGAGCAGGGCTCTTTGATCTGTCCTTTGTGGCAAGTTAATAGTTCCAGTTCAGTGAATGTTGAGGAGCTTTCGTTTTATTCAGGTTCACTACAGCTAAATATCACTATCTCTGTAAACTCAATTTCAAGGGCTGCCCACATACGTTAGGCACTAGCCCAGTATATGCCGACTAGGTCACAGGAGTACATTAAAAGCTCCTGTGACCTAAAAAATCAAAAGCTCCTGTGATTAAAAAATGTACTCCTGTAACCCAAAAAAGAGAATGCCAAAAAATGCTTTGGCTTTGCTTCTCTTTTAATTTAAATAAATCTATGGTCTACTTCATGTTGTAGAAGTACATAGGTAAAACACAAACTAAGAGGAATGTATATTGATTTTGTATATATTTTAGTATTATTGTTACACATGATGATATTTTAAATATTTTGAATTTCTATACTCAGCTAGCACGTGGTGCTCTTAGCTTCTTTTCATATAAGAAAACCCATAATGCTCTGGGAATTCTGTGTCATAGGCATTTCCTGTATTTCACATTTGTTTCTAAATCAACGAATGTATGTAGATTGTAAAAACAAGATAAAAAAAAAAAAAAATTGCCCCAAATGTTTATCTGAAAATCATGAAGCTCTCTACCGGTCTTCAGATTTCACAGGCGAGCAGCAGCAATAAAGAATTATAGTCATTCACAGAAGAAAAAAAAAGTCCGTCCGCACTCTGCAAACTTCTCTGAAGAATTTATTGTAGCACACAGGTACACATCGTCCTGCCATAGATCCTCTTCACTCTAACATGTTTCACCCAATAATGGGCTTAATAGAGAACTATGGGGTAAGTGTTTTTTTTCCATAGTTCTCTTAAGGATCACGGAAGGACATATACTAGCGTCCTCCCGTGACCCATAGCTCAGTATATAGCGAGCTACACCTCGTGGTATACCGAGACCGCCGCAGTCTGGATGGATCCCGACAATACTATCGAGATACACCCGGCTGCGTGATTGATAGCTGGCTCTGCCTATCTAGAGGGAGACAGCTGTGCTCGCCCTCATCCACCCGTTCCTCCAATCAGCGCTGGAGGATCGGAGCAGGGAATCCTTGCAGGGAGCGGTGAATGACAGTCACTGCAGGGAGATGATCGAGAAGTGAGCGAGCAGCGGTATGTGTTCGCTCACTTCCTGATCTATTGAGCCGACGTGACAGTTTCATTGTCACACATCGGCTCGAACTATGAGGATGAGTGATTTTCACTTACCTCTTAGTTCTCCTTTAATTGTAGAGATCACCATGATTAAGCACATTATTGGGTGAAACATGTTAGTGTGAAAAAAAAATGGTGGGACGAGGTGTACCCGTGTGCTACAATAAATTCTTCGGAGAAGTTTGCTTTGTGCAGCCGGACTTTTTTTCTGTGAATGACTGTGAAGTTTGAGCAAGACTGGTTCGGCAGGTAAGCACCCATAGCTCTCTCTAGTGCTGCTGTGAGGGAGCAATGATATGGAGTTATGGAAATTAGCATTGAAGAACTGTTCACTTTACAGTTGATTGGGGGCATGTTAAACTACAAGCTGAGATATTTTTTTTCTCTTTTTGGCAGTGTTATGAGTATGTCAAATCATCATAAGTGTATGTATATAGTTTTATTTTTAAATATTCCACATGTGTTGATGGGAGCTGGTAATTAAATATGTTCTTTGTTGTGGGTTATCACTGTCCAGGGGAGATGCATATCAATGAATTGTAAACGTAATTATAAATTTGTCCAGACCTAGCCTGTTAATGGTATATGGTCGAGACAAGAGACAATGAGATCCATGAACACATTGGAGCCGAGGCCTTTGATTCTCACAATAGGTGCATACACTCTTTTGTCTCTGGCTAAGACCTTCAAAAGATCCTTGTCGCTAGTAAAACAAGCAGATTGTCCCCCTGGTTTAGATAAAATCATGACCTGGGGTTAGCCTCGGGACACCTGCCCATCTGGAATTTCCCGCTCATCTTAAAAGATTTGCATAGAAAAGGGGTTGGAAGTTCCAACAAAGGGTATTTGGAAACATCCAATCCCTATAGGAGAATTCAAATCTGATTAAATGAATCAATGGGAGGCCACCAATCGAAGTCTCTCAATGCTTCCCTACGAAGACCAGAGATATATCAATCAAGGGGCAGGAAGAGAAAAGTGAGTCTTTTAAACCACCAAAATGGGGCCCTCATGTGACGATTAATGGGTAAATATGCCTGTACTCTTTCCCTGGCCAACTGGAAGCACTTTTGTAGCTCCGTACGACGTACGTCCTTGGCAGCGAAAGGGTTAAATGTATGTTTATCGTTTGTCCCTTATATATGAATGTCTGTGTATTTTGCATGTTTAAATCTTTTCTTTGTATTTTGTAGTTAAATAGATTGTTGGTTCACTATATTTAAAAGGAGAACTATGAGGTGAATGAAAATCACTCAGCCTCATAGTTCGAGCCGACGTGTGACAATTAAACTGTCACACGTCGGCTCAATAGATCGGGAAGTGAGCGAACACATACCGTTGCTCGCTCACTTCTCGATCCTGTCCCTGCAGAGAGCAGTGACTGTCATTCACGGCTCCCTGCAGGAATTCCCCCCTTCCCCTCTCCTCCAGCGCCGATTGGCGGAACGCACGGGGGAGGGGGCGGGTACAACTGGCTCTGCCTCTGGATAGGCAGAGCCAGCTGTCAATCCCGCAGCTGGGTGGATCTTTACAGTACTGTCGGGATCCGTCGCGGCTGCGGCGGTCTCAGTATACCGCAAGCGGTATCTCGCGGTATACTGAGCTTTGGGTCACGGGAGGACGCTAGTTTGTGACCTCCCGTTACCCTTAGAACTATGGGGAAAAACACTGACCCCATACTTCTCCTTTAAGTCTTGATACTATATAGCAATATATTTCTGTTATTGTGTTGAGCTCAAAAATCTCATGATTGTAACCTCAGAACTATATACTTGTAAGAATTTATTGTAGCACACAGGTACACATCGTCCCGCCATGGATCCTCTTCACTCTAACATGTTTCACCCAATAATGGGCTTAAAAGAGAACTACGGGGTAAGTGTTTTTTAACTTAAACTAGTAATTTGGGTAACAGCAGTGAGGTTTCCAGCAACCAGTCTGCCACACAACACCCTCATTGACAAAAACTGGCAGTAGCGTGCTACAGGTAGACAATAATGATGTTGGACATAGATGCCAAAAAATACCTCTTGTACAGAGAACCTAAACGTTCTAGTTTAGTTTAAATACTTTCATGGAACTTTAAATAAAACTGCCATATAAGAAAAGTAAAAAAAAAAGAAAATGTGTCCATAAATGTAACTTCTTTTGCACCAGTTAAAAAGCTATTTTTCCTATTCAGTCATGTGTATATGTGTAACCAAAAAAAAAAAAAAGGTTCCCTAGAGGTTTTTGGAAAAACTAAGCCATAATTACCTGAAGTAGATTTAATGGTCTCAAACTGGAAGTATTTTTTATGCCAAAGGGCCCACCTGTTGAAGAAAAGTCTTTTATTTAAAATCAAAACAAACCGGCTGAGAAATATATAGTTTTCAGGAAAAAAGGTTATGTATTATTTTTCTGGATCTTGTTTGGAGAACAGTAAACCATAAAGAGACCTGTGATATTTTTTTTATCCAATTACCACAGGCATATATTTTCAGTGTGGTAGTGAAATAATAATTAAATATACTTACATCATGTCCAACATTAATTGGTAATGTCAATAACACAAGTGATTGTTTAAACGTGTCATGACATTACATTTTTAATTGGTTGTATAATTTTTTCCTCTGACCTACTTTTTTACATTACACTATTTTTTTAAATCAACCGTGCAACAAAACTGTCCATATATGCCCTAATTCTACATATATTTATATTGTAAACTGAAATATAAAATGTGATGGTGTCATAAGGCAATTAGATACATTTTTCTTGTAGAATTTAAGGTTAACACTCAAATACATAGATAAAATATATATTGTCTATAAAAATTGTAAATAAATTTGCATTTTTTTTTTACAAAAAATGTTTTTTAAATTCCAAAATGAGAAAATTGGCTTTTATTTTAATCATTACTAAAGAACACCAACATTGAATTATGAACTCAATTTCATATTTCTATGGTAAGGCATATGAAAGAGAACTTCTATTTTCCTGGATAGGTAACTTCAAGAAAAGAAAAAAAAAAGAGAACTGGTTGATCTAAATATCTGCATATATGTTCACATTTTTCAGAGCACAATAATGTCACCAAACCGCCACCAACAACTAAATGATACTAACCTGCCTGAGAGGCAGACTGCATGGCAGCCGGCAATGAGCCTGGCATTGTACCTGGCACCAGGCCTCCTGGAGGTAAAATGCCACTCAGATTTATCCCTGCGGGGGCTATGGCACCAGTACTACACCCCAGCATGGTATTTGAGCCACTCATCAATGCCTGTGGGCCACTGTGGAACAGGAAAGAAAGTCATATTAATTGCTACAGAGGTTCGTGGAATAAAAGGGAGACTAATAAATGCAAAAAAGGAAACTAACATGTTGTATTAAGACTTTGCGTAATTAACCAATGGCCCTGCTCTAAATTTCTTTCTAAACCTTGTGCCTATATGATACAGCCATTCCCATAGATTTAAAAAAAAAATATTGTTCTGTTTGTTGGTGTTCATTTTTTATATGGTTATGCAAAGACATGTAACATTAAAAATGTAATTTGTAAAATGAATGTAATGCTAGGAAAACTTCCTTCCCTATTTTGTCTCCATGTATCCTTATTTGTAATAACGTGATTGGCAAGCATTTAATTCATAATCTAATGCTTCCGAACATTTTAGCCAAGCTAAGAAAAAAAGGGAAAAAGAAAATTGTGCTTAAAAACAAATCACATTTCTTTAGTCTAGGTCAATGAATGATTGAGGATTCTCATTCATCCTGGCCCAATAGTAATGCCCCAGATTCATGGTCTACTTATTACTCAGTACTTCTCTTAATTGAAAGTTAAAAAACAAATCAGACGATCTATGATAAATAAAAAAAAAAAAATAGAATGCTGTAATTCTGAATCCTATTCTTTCTCGGGCATTTATAGATTCATTTGTAAGTGATCAAGAAAGTTAGAGGATTGGAACTCTAACTTGTACTGGTAACTATCAGCTTGCAAATCCAATCAAGACAAGGATGTGAGCCGAGTTACATTGCATTGTTGGGAAGGTAAAATGAAGGTATATAAATATATAAACTGCATACTATTATAAAAAGGTTCAAAATATGCTCTAAAAACACTCAAAGAATTCTTCCCACTCCCCTGGAGACCGGCCATGTGAAAAACATGGAGGCCGTCACTGCCGACACTCTCTGTACAAATATACTAGCGACCAGCTGCCATGGGAGCGGAGATCAGTTGGTATACTCTCACAGCAAGTTTATAGGAATACCAACTGTGTAATACCCCTTAGCTGATCTAGACTAATTGACAAGAACTGATTGCCTCTTCAAAAATTGAACAGAATACTTGCAAAACTAACTTATGAGTTCAAAATACAACCTATGCAACAATGTTTCAGAAACAGATGCAATTAAAGTGAACCTGTGCCCTGACTATGCACACTTGAAAGAGAACTATGGGGTAAGTGTTTTTGAATGGACATAAAAGACATATACTAGCGTCCTCCCGTGGCCCAACGGTCAGAATATCGTGGGCTACTGCCCGCAATATACTGAAAGTTCCGCAGCTGGGACAGATCCCGACAATACTGTCTGGATCCACCCAGCTGTGTGAGTGAAAGCGGGCTCTGCCTATCTAGAGGCAGAGTCAGCTGTGCCCGCCCCCTCCCCGTTCCTACACTCAGTGCTGGAGGATCGGAGCGGGGGAATCCCTGCGGGGAGCGGTGACTGGCAGTCACCGCTCTCTGCAGGGAGATGGTCGGTAAGTGAGTAGCGTCGGAATGTGTTCGCTCACATCCCCATCTACAGAGCCGACATGCGAGTTTCAATGTCACACATCGGCTCTAACTTACAGGATAAAATTCAGAGGGCCCGAGCGCAAGCTATCCTGAGGGACACTTCTGAGGGAACCAGCTACTAGATGGTTCGATTAGTCTCTCGCCCCTATACCCAGGTCGGACGACTGATTTGCACATCAGGACCGCTGCGGACATCAACCAGAGTTTCCTCTGGCTTCGCCCTGCCTAGACATAGTGCACCATCTTTTGGGTCCTGCCGCGCGCGCTCATGCTTCACCTCCCCGGCGGGGCAGACGAGACAAACAAACCAGCGTACCCAATTGTGCATATAAAATGAAAGCAGTATTTGCTTTTCACATGAATACATTACTGAAGTGAATATTCACATATTGAGTGGAGATTTTAACATCCTTTAGTAAATCCGCCCATATATGTGCACCTTCTAAAAAAGGTTACTGAGGGTAAGAAAATACAAAGGCAAACATATTTTGATTACATCAGATCGCACACCCAAAGACAAACTAGGCATAAATTTCCTTGTGCAGTCCTCAAATCTGGGATCCATAAAATACAGAACTTTAGTATTTTCATCTAGTGAAAGGCATTTGAATTGAATGGTTGGTTAGGTTGCAACAAATATATAAAAAAAACTACAAATTCCATACCAATATAAAGGAGTTCAATATGTTCTCTAATTTAAAAAACATTACACATCTCATCTATATTTTATGAAATACTTGAATTTTACATGAAAAAAAAGAGAGAGCAGATGGGATTGTCCTTCTGATTAATTCTATGATTGTTAGAACCATCAGGACTTTTAAATATATATTTTACTAGGGTGGCACCGATACCGGTATTTCGGTATTGAGCGCCGATATTTTTTTTCCGGTACTCGCCGATACCGAAAGTCCCATTCAGGAAGCCAGGCGGCATGTAATGACTCGCCGCCTGGCTTCCTGATTGGCCAGCTTCCGACCAATCAGGAAGCCGGGCAGCGCGTCATTACACGCTTCCCAGCTTCCTGATTGGCCGGGAAGCTGGTTTCTATGCTCTCTTGTCACAAGTGACGAGAGAGCATGGAGCCGGTTTCCCGGCCAATCAGGGAGCCGGGCAGCGTGTAATGATGCGCTGCCCGGTTTCCTGATACCAGAAGTATCAGGCTAGGCATCAGAGCATTTGGGCGAGCACCACTCGGCATCAGCACTGATACCGTTACTAGTATCGGTATTGGTGCATCCCTATATATTACTGTAACAAAGTTTGAGTACACATTACATATGAGTACATATCATTCACTATGTCAACAAGACAAGCAGATGAAAATAATTATGACAAGTTGCAATACATAATTGTAAAGATGTTTTAAACATATTAGTGCCCATTTAAAAATTTACAGTAACCAATTGCACATTATTTTATTCTCTGTACCCTAAGCTGCTAAAATCTGAGCAGAGTCACTATGCAATGCTGTTTTGCGGTGTCATAAATCCAGGGGTGGACAAATATGAAATTCAGAAGCCAGCCTGTCCAATCCAGGAGGATTTTCAGGAGTCAGCTCCATTAACAACTAGAAAAAACCTCAAAAGTCGGGCATCAGCTGTAATTTTTAAGCGGCACTGGCGAACTGGCTCCTGGGATTAGTCCTGTCCTGCATAAATCCAATTATGTAGAAATTGTCGATGACCATATTGAATATTTATGATGCATAGATACTATGCTGTAACTAGTACATGTTACGACAAAGCAAAAGCAGGGAGTAAAGAGTTAAAACAGAAGAGTAAGATACATGAGAGCTGACTGAAGGAATCTAAAAAGGAGAGACCCGTCAAACACTGTACACTGCAATGGAAGAGATAAGAGAAACAAAGCAGAGCAGTAGAGGATGTACATGAAATGCAGAAATAAAGGGAACACTGTGAGATAGGAGAAATGTTTATTTATTAAGAAGAAGAGATACCCAAAGTTCTAGAAGTTGTAGAAAAAGAAGAAGACCAGAGAAGAGAAAAGCAGTGTAAGTTTTATTTGATGACAATGTACTGTACTGCTGTATAAAACATCAGACGTCCGAGGAATTAAAATAACAAGAGTCTGCACTGTCCTAAAGTGCCAAGTCACGTATCCCTCCCAGACAACACATTAGAAAAATCACAGAATGTATGTATACTTTTATCTTTCTGAAGACATTACAAATAAGTTCAGTATTGTTAATACACCACAATATGTATTGGTTAGGAGTGCCCAAGTGCAAAACTATGCCCATGATATCCTGCTACACAGAAGAGTAATGGTCTTATCCTTCAAATGCTATGGAACACAATGTTTACTTCATTGAATGCAACTTGGCAATCGGGGAACTGCACATTTCTTAAACAAGTCTCATCCCTTGGAAAAGTGCTTTCCGCCTAAGACACTGGTCTTTTTGGAGCCCGTCTGCTTATTGATGCCTACTGGACCATAAACTCCTCAAAAGCTTCAATCCAACAATATGAACAGGGGGGTTCCATGAGATCACTTTTATGAATATGAAATCAGAATAGACAAGAGTGGTGGTCATGTAAGTTCAGCATTAAAGTAGCTGCCGTAAAGCTGGCCATACACCTTTAGGCCTTGTTCACACCAAATGCAGAGCAGATCCGCTCAGGTCTCTGCACACGCAGTGCAGTGGGTTGTGCCGCGTTTTTAATGCGTTCCGGGCTGTTTTTTGGTTAAAAAAAATATATATATTATTTTTTTTAGTTTAACATGGGCTTTCAATGCATTCCAGGCATTTGCATGCGTTTTTGATGTGTTTGCATGCGTTTCAGAGCAGGTAAAATAGGGCTTGCTGCAGTTTTTTTCACCTGCTCTGGAACTGCACGCTAAGATGTGAACTGGAGCAAAAAATACCATTCGAATACATTGGACGCAGTTTTGATCCGGTCTGCAACTGCTCCGCGCTTGGTGTGAACAAGGCCTTAGACTTCCCAAGTTCAGCCCGCAGGAGAAATCACTTGATTCCCTTATCTACGAGGAACAGCATGAAGGAATCTCCCCTGCCTGCTATTGTAGTCACCACCCATGGCTGCTGAATACCCAAACAGTTCAGCCATCAATTTTCCACCCAGCTACTTGACAAAATTGGACTGAAAAATCAAATTTTACAGAGTTGTGTGGTGCAAACAGGGCCACTGACAGCTTGAATTTCATCGGATTTAGCAGCAACTGGCCAAACTTGAGCAGTGTACGCCAGCTTTAGTCAGATTGAAAAAAAAGACATGTTTTAAAAGCAATTCATTCAAACGCTAATGGTCCTCTTGATGTGACTAAACTACAATGGGACAACATGTTAGTAGACAAAAAGAGAGGGTTATTTTTCTTACTGCCTAGGTATGCTAATGTGAAAATTACAATCACACCCAACTTGTCATTTCAGAAAAATTTCCCATTATTAACATTAAGAATAATAAGAAAATGTAAATGTATCAGAACGCTTCTCAACCCCGAACACAGACCTGAACTCACTGTGAAGTTAATAAAAGCTGGAAATAGTGTTTAAACTGTTCAATGTATCCAATTTTCAACTGGCAGTAGGAATGTAAACTCGAAGGAATGTAAACACGGGATTGCAAGTCGCATTATGCCTGCGGTCCGGTGCGATCAAAATAGTGCTTGCAGCATTTTGATCGGACTGGACCGCAGGCATATAATGTGCCGTGCGATCCCGTCCGGCCAATAGCATTGCGGCAGGAGGGCGTGGCTATGGTGCCATTCACTTCAATGGCCCACCACGCCCCCTCCTGCCCCACAAAAAAGTGAACCTGCCGCAATGCGAGGCAGTGGGTTCTGGCCAGAATCGGGCCGGAACGCACTGCATCTGGTGTGAACGGCCCCTAAATGCTGATAGGCAGTTCTAGCAGCACAGCTACCTCTGAAACAAAGACTATTCATCTCCTTTTCCTAAGTAAATATAAAAAACAAAAACACAATGCAGAGTACAGGACCAGATCTGTTAGAGATGCAAAAGCTGCGGAGTGTCAAGATGAAGGGAACTTACCATCCAACTACATTGATGATATTAAGTCCAGCAGGATTTGCCATAACTTGGGTGGATGCAGTTCCCGTAGTTATAGATGTTACCATGGTAGACAGCGGAATGGTCATTACAGGTAACCCCTGACTCAGAGACATTTGCTGCTGAGCAAACGGTCCTATCAATGTGGGCTGCTGTGAACTAAAGCTCGAGTCTTGGGGTGTGGGGGTGACAGAAGGAGTGATAGGAGCGGAGCTGGAAACATCGGGTGGATGCGGTGTCGATGATGGGGTGTTGGTTGGTGTAGGAGTAGATGGTTTGGGTGTTCCAGATCCTGCTCATTGAGAAAAATGAAAAAGCACTAGTACAAAAACACATTTTGTATAAAAAGTGAAAAAAAAAAATCTAAAAAAAAAAAAAAGGACCATGCTTAATGTGATAGGGATTAATATAAAAACGATTAATAAATCTAAGAACTTCAAAAGGTGTGACACGTTTGTTTCACAAAGGCAAGACAACATGGACTTGCTACAAAAAAGACGAAAAGAAAACACGTCGTTAACAGGTCGCAAATGCTTCAAACCCATTTAATAGCAAAACAAATCATAGAAATATAATGCTTTTGTTAGTAGAGCCAAATATCGGCAGTTGAAGCAAACATTCTCATTTTTCAAACAAAAAAACTTAATTGGATTTTTTTAAAAATTTAACACGTTTGTATTTTTCTTTTAAAAATCAATGTCAAACAATCAATGCAACTTTTCAAAATCCAGACACAGGCAACAAATAAAGCCTAACTTAACGAGCAGTTTAAATCGGCAAACCATAATCCAGATGCATCAATACAAAAATGGCGTGCAAAGTATTACAATTTGTTTGATTCAGAAATCAACCACAGCCCGAGTAGAAAAGCCCATCCCTTGCCGGTATGTTGCAGAGAAGGACCCTTGTATGGAAGCAGTGGTCGATCTGCAGAGGTTCAATAAGCCCCTTGCAGAGAGATTTGCTGAATGCTGAGCTATAGTTCTAGTTCAGCAGTAAGTATATCAAACCTCTGCTACCACAAAGAGAGCAAGGGTCATTCTGTACAGCATGCCATCAGCAAAATGTAGTGCCAAGACTGATTTAGTGCTCAGACTGTGGCTGGTTTTTTAAAGAGGGTTTAGAAGACTAGAAGAGCCACCAGCACACCAACAGTCCACTACATTGTCTTGTCTTTATTTGACATCGGATAAACATGACCTCACCTACAAATGCAACATTTCGGCACCCTATGCAGTTCCTTCATCGGACAAAAATAGTGTAAACCGCAAAGGGTCTCTTTTGGATGTGAGGCCATGTTTATCCGACATCAAATAAAGACGAGACGCTGAAATGGACCTTTGGGGTTATGGTGGTTAATTGTTCTATACCTCAACTTATGCACCACCATCCACAGGCCATTTCAGCACCCACTGAATAACTTTAATAGAGATTCCGGTCTGGAGTGTTCTTGCATTTTTTTTTTAAAGGGCACTAACTGTAAGGCTTTTAACACCTTTTTATTTTGATGCGGATAGAAAAGAATTCAGCTGATTTAAACTGAACGTTCGATTGGGCTTTAAATTGGAAGTCCACCAAACACTGATAAGTCTTGTGTTGACACCACTGGGTTCTATCAAATACTAGCCTCTCATAAGCACTACCTATCTTAGGGTCCGTGTCGCTGGGTGTTCTAGTCAAGACTACATTTGCCCTGCTTTGCTTGAAGTTCAAGCACATCTCAGTAAGACATGCTATGTCCACAGATACACATTGCAACACAAAGAAGGTCTCAGGCTCTTGACTGCCATGTGTACTGCCCAATTAAAGTAAATGGGATTTTGCTGACTTGTGTTTGAGGCGCATCTCAACTCAGGTGAACCCACCCACCAACATGATCCCTACTAGAGTTCCATGATGGCACATCTATGCCTTGCTGGGACTATATCACATCACATTTTGCCATTTATGTTAAATTTTATAAGTTATGTGGTCACTTTCCCTAATGATTTGTCTTAGAAAATCATGGGGAAGCCAAAAGCAGCTTTTTGACACTGCTTGGAATTGCATCAGGACCAAATTACATGCCGTCATAGAGACTTTGAGAAAGCTATGGTTTTCAAATGCGATAAGCTCACAAGGTAGCACAACCAAACTGTATCCATCATCAGGTTTGGGTGGTCTTGCACTTTAAGCCCAAAAATGTCTCATTTAAAAGCTAGTCTTGCCTGCAACACATAGCATTACAAATGCCTGACTGACTTCAATGCAACCAAAGTATTTAAAAAAGAGAGGAAAAAAAAAAAATGGAAGTTGCAATGACCTGTAGTCATTTTGCACATATCCAGCAGCTTTCATGCACTCATCATAGTTAAATACTTGTGAGGCAATATTAAATATATATATATTAAAAACATAAAACTTATTATACGAAGTAAATATAGTTCAAAAAGCCATACTGGGTTTTTGTCAACTACTTGACATGCCGTGAGGTTATACACACACAAAAAACAATAACGCTCAGCTTTTTTTTCTTTTTCTTTTAAAAACAGCAGCTTCTAAAATTTCAATCCAAAAAATAGAAATAAAAAATACACTGTAATTGCTTTTTGTCACACTGTAATACCTGGTTTGCATTGCATTCTTAAAGCATAAAAACACAAGTCATTCTAGCAATTTTCCATTATAAATACGTACACACAAAGGGTGCATACAGTGAAAGGAAAAAACTAAAATATATAGCCATATATCAAAATAAAAAAAAAGACAATTACATGAAAAACACAAAATACATACAGTTAACAGAACATATTGCTATCAAGTCTACAAGGCTTTTACAAGCATTGAAGCGCACACAAGCATACACGTTGGTGTCACCAATCCATTAGAAAGAACGGTTTAATCTTGAAGACCTCTACACCAAAGGCCTATGGAGATTTAATGGAGAATTTAGGGCGTGACTCACTTTGTGATGAGCTGGCTGGTGACAGAGCAGCTGGTGAGAGCAAGCCGACTTGATTAAGGTCCACTGACTGTTTTCGAGAGATACTTGGTGGTTTAGATGGAGGCGGAGTTGTGGATTTCAGGTGACCACTCGCCTGTTGGTGACTAAATAGATTACCTAGAAAAAGAAAAAAGAATTCACAAAAGGTTTACATTTAGTAATACTATCAAAGCGTACATTCTTGAAATTGAAATGTAATAAATACATTTAATACAATACCTTTCCTTGTCCCCCCAATCAACATGCAATTACATTTGTTCACTCAAATCAGTTTGCTTTTTAAGAATCACCTATTCTGCCTGCTGGTCTTGTGCTCTTAGTTTGGAGGGCGGGGTTGGCAGGCTCCTGTAAACATCACAGCACCCTGCCTGGGATCTTTTTCAAAATAAATATATAAAAGAACACATACCAGGGACCCCTTCAGATGTGCCTGCTTCTCCCTGCTGGCCAATGGGTGCTGCATATCCTAACTGTGCTTTCTGCTCATTGGTTACAGGTATGTCTCAAGGGATGCCTGAAATGTGTTCTTCAGTAACAAAATGATTGATGGCAGAGAAAGCCAATAGCTGTGAGGGGGTGACTACAGTAAAGATCAGAGGGAAAAGTGATTGAGTTGCCTTGTCGCACTCCTTACCGGAAAGCCCCAAATCAAATGAGGGGGGATGCTCGCAACGACTGCGGATGGCGCCACCAGATAATGTAGGTGAATTGATGTCACCAGCACACCAAGAGTATTGTAGTCCAAAGCGTTCGTTTAGAGAAACGTCATGTCATCAGAACTAGCGCTTTCCGGGCCACGCAGGGTCCCCTTCATCAGGCTCAGCAATACTCTCAAACTACAATACTCTTGGTGTGCTGGTGACATCCATTCACCAGCTTTAAAGCCCATCTCCACACAATTGTATTTATTTGCTTTGGATAGAGCTAGGATGGGGTCTTTTTTTATTTAGTGAGGAAGAGTTAGAATTTCTGATGTTTTGATTGTGATTGTGTTTATTGCAGACAGACAGCGACTCCTGTACAAGATTTTAGGAGTATCAGACCGACATAAAAATGGACAGAAAGTGTAAGTGGATATAGTTGTGGTAAATCACCAGCAGTTTTCTTATATCTCTTAATAAGCTCCCAGGGTGAGATGTCCTCAGAAGAGTTTCCAAGTCTGCCAACCATATGTGCCATTAAGAATCCAAACAAGGGAGTCTCAGTATTCTTTCAGAATTCTCTGGCATGCTACAATACTTGATCAAAGAATCCTGCGGGTAATGATAGACACTGTCAACTCTTCCTATTCACGGAACATGGTGGAAGGGTAACAGTGTCACTTTAATCCCACTGGAATCAAACTGAAACTGCATAATATCAGCTTTGGGCAGATTTACCCTTCAATGTGTTAGTAAGCCCTCCCAAAAATGACCGTCACTTAAAAAAAAAGTTTAAATTAATGGAGAAAATGCCTGTTAATCCTGCCAATCACTTTTACTTTCTTCCCTATGGTGGCAACGATCTGTAGGTTGATCTAGTCTCTGCAGCATTGCCACCACAGTGCACACACACTCATTTTCCTCTGCAGCTTTGCCATGTCACAGGCAGCCATGGTAGCCAGGACGGCTAGTCCTCCGGGGGGTCCTCACTATCATAGTACTAGGTGTACAAAGCCTTCTGCAAAGCCTGCCAGGTTCAGAGAAGCAGTTGGCAGAGGAATACAAAGCGAGTCAGGCATGTACTATCTCTTCAGTTTTAGTAAACTCTGGTGCTACAGTGCGCCTCTGGCCTCAAACTGCACCAACTGAGCCTGGTAATGATCTCAATGACAGCTGGCTCTGAGCGCCTTTGGCTCTGCTGGAATTTAGTTCCACAAGCAGCTTCTATAGCAACATCTTTGTGACAATACAGCAGGGGAAAAATGACTCGGTTTAATGCCGCTCTCACACTGTGCTGGTATCTGTCAGATTTTCCCTTTCTGTCCTAGGTGCTTGGCTGTCAGCCAATGGGGATTTTGGAGCGCTGTCGCCAATCTTCTCTCTTTCTTTCCTATTTAGGTTCAGCTCACTTGTTGCTCTGGGTTTGAGCAGAGAGTCCGTTTTCTCTTGCCAGACCCTCCCCTTTTACCTATTGTTTTTCCTTGTTGTTTCTGGAGCAGTTTTATGATTCCTTGTTCCCTTGGATTCCTCGTATACCCTTGTGAATTCCCTGCTTCCCTGCTTGGCTGTTTCCCTCCTTCGTGTTCCCTGTGTACCAGCTTACTCCCAGACCCTTGTGATTCCCTGTGGTATCACCGTGCATTCATTTGTGAGGTGTGAGTGGCCATACTTGCCTGTCCATTGATTGTTATCCGTTTGTGTGTGCCCTCTCTTCACTCCAGTGTGCCTGCCTTGCCAAGGCTGCCTGGCTTCCCGACCATTCAGGATGCCGGGCGGCGAGTCATGAGGTGCCGTCCGGCTTCCTGATTGGTTAGGAAGCCAGGCTGCCTAGGAACAAGTTAAGCCAGCTTCCTAGCCGATCAGGAAGCCGGGAGGAGGGTCATGACGTGCCGCCCGGCTTCCTAATTGGCTAGGAACCCAGCTTCACTTGTTGGTAGGCAGCCTGGCTTCCTAACAAATCAGGAAGCTGGACGGCACCTCATGACCCGCCGCCTGGCTTCCTGATTGGTCAGGAAGCCAGGCAGCCTTGGCAAGTGAGGCCGGTGTTTTTTCGATAGAACACCGGCATCCCAGGCAATCAGGAAGGCGAGCGATGGTTCATGATCCGCCGCCTGACTTCCTGATAATTGTGGCACATGGCACTGGTATCGGTACTTGGTATAGACTAGTATCAAAAAAAAAATTTTTTTTATCGGTACTCGTACTTGATCCTGAAAAACCAGTATCGGTACATCCCTAATGCTAGGTAACAGTTTTGTCAGACAAGTGTAGCGTAAGCAGCAACAAAAGCACGGGCACAGGAAACTTGCATTAGAGCTCTACATAAATTCCTCTTACTATGCTCCACCAACACAAAACCCTAAATGGCCATTTAAAGGAGGACATCTACCAGTTTGTATGGAATGTTATAATGAGAAAAGAATTAGCCTTTAAACTGTCCAGTTTAGGCAGGAGATTCAGTAGGTAAAAGTGGTTGGAATGGATCTTAGGAAAAGCAGTCGGATTTCTCATTTCCACAATTGCTTTACAACTGCCAGGTGTCATTCTTCTTTAACTACTTCAAGAAAGAGCATAAAAATTACATTTTCATGGTGGAAACCCACTCCCATGGTGTCCATCGAAACCTACTCAACCCCTCCACGCGATGCTCTCTGTGTTCTCCTTTATTGCCCGCTTCCAGGTAGAATAATAGCCAGTATCATTAAATCCCTTCCTGTGAACACAGATTCTAATGGACAACCCCGCTGGATATATGTCATCATGTGCGTCTGGGTTTACAGCAGTGGGTTTACTGATGCGCTAATTGGGCTCACGCAATATTAAGTGCTGTTTGGTGCGGCAGTAAGGAGCACCCACCACCACCAACAACGGGCAAGAAGAGGAAAGACTTGTGACATCACCCAGAATGGCTAGAAGACAGCTGGAATTAGGGTATGTATTTTGGGAATTAAAGAAATAAAAAACAGGTGTTAAGGGGGGCTAGAGATGTGCTTTAAAAATGTGAACAAAACAGAAAATGTCCATCTTTACACAGGAATGCAACACTATACATTTTAAATCCGTCAATCAACCCAAAGTAATTTTTTTACTATGCCTACTGCCCACAGCCTTAATCAGAGAATGTCAGCTTCATCTTAAATTTTACATTACAGACATAGTGGTAGTAAAAGAAAACATCTGTATGGTTTGTGGTGGTGGGGGGGTTTAAATCATGACATCAAGAGGGGAAAAATGTAATCACTAGTATCTTGCATGGATGCAAGAAACCACAGAGTAATTCAGTGCAACATATCCACCCGTTGCTAAAATATCAGATCTTAAAAAAAATATATATCTCTAATGAAGAGAATAGACATATACCTGGAGAATTATTGCCAGAGTTAGAAGGAAGTTTAATGGGAGGTGGCCTGTGCTTGACGCCTTTACCCAGTACAGAGGACTGGATAGAGCCTGCGATACCGTCTGCCTATAAAACAAT